CTGAAAAAAGAAGGGGGGGGGGAGGAGGAAGAAGAGGAGGAGGGGGAGGAAGAGGAGGAGGAGGAGGAGGAAGAGGAGGAGGAAGAGGAGTTCCATTTTCTTTTGTCTCTTGATTGTTTGTGTCATAGCTAAGAAACCTTGATATATTCCTACACTCTAAGAGGTTTATAGTTTTACTTCTTACATTTAGGCCCATGATCTATTTTGACTGGATTTTTTGGTATGGCATAAAAGAAGGGACCCATCTTCCTCAGTTTGCAGGTATTTATTCAGTTGTCCCAACTGTTATTCCTCCAGGCACCTGCCCTTGTTGGAGAACTCACACACATATGCATGATGGTGGGCAGGGCCTGTAGAAAGGAGTAAATGGTGACCAAAAAAAACCACAGCCAAGAATGGCTGGAGCAGTGTCCTGGGGTGGGAGGGGGACAGGGTCTGCTGCCCATGGGAAGGATGGCCTCAGTCAGGAGCAAGGTGGCAGTAGGGCCCCAGGAGGAAAAATCACTGCCCGGGCCTAGATGTAGGCAGTGAGCATTCTCTCCCAATGGCTTCCCTTTTCTGTCACACAGGAAGCAGCGTCGCCATCAGAGACAGGGGACAGAAGAGGGAAGGCTGGGAGCCCGAGCAGAGAAGCAGTTAGTGGGAAAGGAAATGGACTGGGGAAGTAATGGACGGTTGCCGCTGACACCGCAGCCTATGTGAGGAAAGAGGTGGCGATGAAGGAGCAGCCAGACCTTGCAGCGGAAGCCACATGCGGAGGGCAGATGGCGGTGACGGGGGTTGGGGGCTGCAGTCCTCCAGGCCTCTGGGGCCAGGTTCTCTGTGTTGGGTAAGAGGAGAACAGGTCCTCGGTGGTGGCCACGAGCAGCCCGCTTCTGGGGTGTCCAGGTCCATCCAGGCAGGAGGTCTTCACCCACATCCCAGTCGTACTTGACTCCAGAAGAGGAACAGTGCCTGCCCTGAAATCTGGCTGGAAAGCAGGGTCAGGGAAGCCACCAGCAAGCCCCTACCTCCCACTGCCCACCTGGTCTTCCAGCTCGGGCTTCCGCAGAAGATTTATTTCCTCATAGTTCGGGAGGCTGGGAGTCCACCTGCTCAGGTTCTAGCGAAGGCCTTGCACAACATGACCTGCTCTCAGAGTCTTTAGAGGGAGGAAAGAGAACACGAAAGCTCTCCCATGTCTTCTTCCAAGGGCACTAATCCCCGGTGAGGGACCCACCCTTGCAACTACATCCAAACCTAGTTACCTCCCAAAGACCCCATCTCCAAACACTATCACCATGGGGATGAGGGCTTCCTCACCTGAACTGGGGCTGAAATGGGGACCCACTGTAGCTCATGGCCCCTCAACCTGCTCTCAGTCTCTAACAGGGTCCTCACACAGAAATAAGCCCTAGCTCTTATGGGAAATGTTTGCATTATGGCAACCCTAGAGGGACAAAAGAGAAGTCATGCATGTTTAGATTTTTAGCTGGGGATCTAGCTCAGCAGCACAACACCTGCCTGGCCAGCATGAGGTTGTGAGTTCAGTTCCCAGGAGAGAGGGAGAGAGGGAGAGAGGGAGAGAAACAACATTTTTTTTTGCATATAATCTCAATAATCTTGTATATTGATTACCTGTTGAAGTGATAATATCTTGGATATATTGGGTTGAAGTATATTATGAAATTAATTTCATCTAGTTGCTCTTTTTAAAATTGTGGTTATTAGAAAATTTAACTCTTAAAAAAAAAAAAAGGAAGAAAAGAAAATTTAACTCTAGGGCTGGGAGACAGCTCAGTGGCATAAGTGCCTGCCTGGGAAGTGCAAAGTCTTGAGTTCAATCCCTGGTACCAAAAAAAAGAAAATTTAGCACTAAACCTGTGGCTCACATTTCTGTCCTGCATTTCTTTCCTGTCCCTGGAACATAATACCTGACACCCACAGTTTTAAGCGAGAGAAGTTTCAGTCTGTGTTCAGCGGGCTCCATGTCCAGGCAGCGTGGCAGAGGGGTGCAGGGGGGAGAGCTGCTGCGCTAGGCCTGGCAGATGGGAAGCAGAGAGCTGAGGACAGGGATAAACCCTTCAGGGCCACACCCCAGGGACCCCTCTTCCGGCCAGGCGCCCTCCTAACAGGGAGCCTGTTGTAAGCGCCCATGATCCCCGTATGAAGCTTGCTGGCCTCGGCCTAAGTCAGTGTTCACAGCTGTCAGATAAAGTTTTCTCTGACAGAATCTTGGTCTAGGGGCTGGGGAAATAGCTCAGCAGGAGAAGCGCTTGCCTGGCAAGTGCAGGGTCCTGAGTTCAATCCCCGGTTCCACAAAAACAAAAGAAGCTTGGACTAGGCTGTGCTTTGGAATTTAAGGTCTGGAGGTGTCCTCAGGGGGGTGAAGAGGACACAGATTCCCCAAAGGCAGCTCCTGGGGCTTGATCAACCGCCAGGTCTCTGGGAATCTGACCTGACTGCCCTTGTTTGGTTGGGAGACACATAAATAACGTCTTTTAATTTGTCCCCAACCCCCCCATGCCACCCACCCCACACAAGACCATGACATACCTCCTTCCTCGGAGCTCTACTTTCCTGGGGCAGGAAGCCAGGTGAGATCCCCAGCACCATTTGCAATTCCTCTTCTTCTTTCTCCAAGCATGTATTGTGTGAATTTTATGTAAGATAGACAGTACATACGGGGCCATTCCACTGAATGTCATAGACACATCCCTATTTGCTATTTATTAAATTTGGCTACTAGTACCCTATCCTAATGCCCACACAGCTAGTGTAACTATTTCCCTGTTGTTCAACTTTCAAATAATTTGCCCCCTTCCTCCTATTACACGCAGTAATACTATGAATAGCTTTTTTTCCAACTTAAATTGTTTTATTGGAATGTTTTCCCTGAAATAAAACTGGTTGACTAGAAAGTCTGCAATTTTATGGCTTCTGGGGTTTCTTTTCTCTTCAAGCACTCTCCCAAAATACTACCACTATGTGCTATCTCCCATGTGTATATAATTCCTACCCTGCTTTCGCACAGACCTGCCAGGTTTGGGTTTGATCATTTCTGTTTGTTTTCACTAATTAATTAGTTTGCAGCGGATATCTTTTAGATATTATACCTGCATTTACTGAACCAATAATAACGAGTAAAATCCTTCTCTGAAAATCCAGAAAAATAAAATAAATGACTACTACATCAATAGATTAAAAAAAAAAAAAACAACAACAACAAAACAAAACACTTTAAGTCAGGTATACTGGTGCATCCCTGGGATCCCAGCACGTTGAGAGGCTGAGGTAGGACGATCCGGATTTCCATCCCAGCCTGAACAATTTAGTGAATCTGTCTCAAATTTAAAAATAAAAAGGTGTCAGGGGCTGAGGTACAGCGCATTTCCATTTTCCATTTCCCAGGGTTTGGGGGTACCCACAGCTGACTCCAAGCCATCTGTGGGGTCCCTGCAACCTGAAACCTCAGCCGGCGGCAGCCCCTCCCTGCACATTGCACATGAGCCCTGCTCTTTTGTCATTGCGATAATTGCTTGCTCCGGGTTGAGACACATTCTGTTTTATATGCGGAAAGGTTGCGGGAGACGCGGCTGATGTTCTGCCCGTGGTTTATGAAACCTCGGGAAGGCCTAACCCCGTGCTACAGGGAACCCGCGAAGCAGCGTCCTCCGGGAGCCTCCTTGCGCGCCAGGCGACGCGGTGACCAGGCGAGGGCGCTGTGAGCCCGGCCGCGGGGCGGGGAGAGGGCGCGCCGCGGGTGAGCGCTGGGTGGCGGCTCGCGATAGCGAACGGCGCGGACCCACTGCGAGCCCAGCCGGACGGCGCCGACGCAGAAACGCCGAGACGTTCATTCCAGCTAAAAATACCATCTGTGCGTGCAAAACCACGCTCGGCGCTGTCCCGCCTGCACCCGAGGCAGGTTAATAACCGGCCCTGGAGCAGATAGTTTCTTTTTATAATTACTGGGTCCCCACCCTGGCTGCCTGCCCGCCCCGCCTGGACACAGGGACACCGCCAGCCTGGGGTGTCGAGGCCACCGGGCCATCGGTCACAGCAGCCCAAGTGACACCACTCGGACTTACCAACAACAACAACAAAGAAACAAACCAGGATCACCCATCAAATGAATACCAATTGGAAACCCCACGATTCCATTCCTTGATGAGAATAGTGATCTGAGCGCAACCCAGTATCTTGTTGGGAGAATGGATCACTGACACTACCTACTGGGAACGTCTCACCTGAATGTAGCAACCATTTTCTAAAAATGTATTTAGGACGGAGTCTACAGGCTGTGGCTACATAGATCGGACTCACAGTAATAAACGCTGGGATTACAGGCGCGCACCACCACGCCCAGTCGCAATCGCCCTCTCAGCACGCCATAAGGGGCAGGACCTTAAGGATGGGACCCGCAGGATCCAGCCGGCAGCTGCGCTCTGCCTAAGCAGAGCTATCTGGCCGGCCTGCAACCAATTTTTAAAATACTACATACTTTCTAACCTAGCAATTTCACTGTAAGGACTCTTATCTGTTACAATTCAAAGAGTGTCTATCAAAATCCAAAATACTGCTGTGTATAGGGATGCACGCCCGTAGCCACAGCACTTTGAGAGGCTGAGGCAGGAGGACTGCAATTTCAAGCCTGGGCAATTTAGCGATTTAGTGACATCCTGTCTCAAAATAAAAAGAAATTTTAAAGGGTTTGTATAGTTCAGTTACAAAGGACATGGGTTCAAACCTCAGGATTTGTCAAGGAAAAAAAATACACCGATTCAATGTACAAAGAGAGGGACAGGGGAGATGGCCCGGTGGACTAAGTGCTTGACTGTTAAGCACAGGGGCCTGAGCGCAATCCCCGGTTCTGCCAGAGAGAGAGAGAATAATACAAAACTATTTAAGATTATAATAGTAAAAATATACATGAAGGAAACATCTGTATGTTTCAGCATTTCGGTATAGTGGAATGCTACACAGCCATTTATACTAAATATTAAAATGTTAATTGGGACCCCACGCACTGCTGCCAACGCCCAGGTGGAGGAGCTGAGGTCAACGTCAAATTTGAAATATTTAAACTATTTCCACAATGCAGACAATGAAGTGCGTTGTTGTGGGCAACGGTGCTGTTGGTAAAACATGTCTCCTGATATCCTACACAACAAACAAATTTCCATCTGAATATGTACCAACTGTTTTTGACAACTATGCAGTCGCAGTTATGATTGGTGGAGAGCCATACACTCTTGGGCTTTTTGATACTGCAGGGAAAGAGGATTATGACAGATTACGACCACTGAGTTATCCACAAACAGATGTATTTCTAGTCTGTTTTTCAGTGGTCTCTCCATCCTCATTTGAAAATGTGAAAGAAAAGTGGGTGCCTGAGATAGCTCACCATTGTCTAAAGACTCCTTTCTTGCTTGTTGGGACCCAAATTGATCTCAGAGATGATCCCTCTACTATTGAGAAACTTACCAAGAACAAACAGAAACCTATCACTCCAGAGACTGCTGAAAAGCTGGCCTGTGATCTGAAGGCTGTCAAGTATATGGAGTGTTCTGCACTCACACAGAAAGGCCTAAAGAATGTGTATGCTGAAGCAACACTGGCTGCCCTGGAGCCTCCAGAACCGAAGAAGAGCCGCAGCTGTGGGCTGCTAGGAACATCTCTCCAGACCCCTCTGCACAGCTGGTGTCGGCATCATACTAAAAGCAATGTTTAAATCAAACTAAAGATTAAAAATTAAAATTCATTTCAGACAAGTGCCCTGCACCTACCCACATGTACTCGTGTGAGACAAGGCCGATAGGTATGCCCCCCGGCCCTCCCAGTACTAGTTAATTTTGAGTAATTGTGATTGTCAGAAAAGTGATCAGTACTAGTTTTTGTTTTGTTTCAAAAACTTTTTTTGTTGTTGTTGTTTAAAAGTAAGGCATCGGGGGCCTGGCCCTAGCTCAGGCCTTTAAGTGGCTGCTTCCACAAAGCTGTCAGCCTCAGGTTGCTGGAGTT